TTGTCATCTGCGACGTTTATTTTTTTTTCGACAGAGCGGAGGGGGCGGGGTGAGGGATTGATGAAGACACGTGACTTTTGACGTCACCACCCTTTGCAACCTGAGGTTCATATATATTATAAATTGAAAACTTTTCAAGAGCGAGCCAGTAGCTCAGTCGGTAGAGTGCCATTCTCAGATCTTCAATCGCGGGGTTGGTGGTTCGAGCCCCAGGTTGTCATCTGCGACATTTATTGTTTTCTTAGACAGAGCGGAGAAGGCGGGGTGAGAGATTGAAGACGACACGTGACTTTTGTCGTCACCACCCCTTGCAACCTGAGGTTCATATGTATTATAAATTCAAAACATTTGAAGAGCGAGCCGGTAGCTCAGCCGGTAGAGTGCCATTCTCAAATCTTCAATCGCGGGGTTGGTGGTTCGAGCCCCAGGTTGTCATCTGCGACATTTTTTTTTCTACAGAGCGGAAGGGGCGGGGTGAGAGATTGATGACGACAGGTGACATTTGACCTCACCACCCTTTGCAACCTGAGGTTCATATATATTATATTTCAACAAATTTCAAGTGCGAGCCGGAAGCTCAGTCGGTAGAGTGCCAGTCTCAGATATTCAATCGCGGGGTTGGTGGTTCGAGCCCCAGGTTGTCATCTGCGACATTTATTTTTTATGCGACAGAGCGGAGGGGGCGGGGTGAGGGATTGATGACGACACACGTGACTTTTGACGTCCCCACCCTTTGCAACCTGAGGTTCATATATATTATAAATTGAAATCATTTCATGAGCGAGCCGGTAGCTCAGTCGGTAGAGTGCCATTCGCATATATTCAATCGCGGGGTTGGTGGTCCGAGCCCCAGGTTGTCATCTGCGACATTTTTTTTTTTCCACAGAGCGGAGGGGGCGGGGTGTGAGATTGATGACGACACGTGACTTTTGACGTCACCACCCTTTGCAACCTGAGGTTCATATATATTATATTTCAACACATTTCAAGTGCGAGCAGGTAGCTCAGCCGGTAGAGTGCCATTCTCAGATCTTCAATCGCGGGGTTGGTGTTTCGAGTCCCAGGATGTCATCTACGCCTTTTTTATTTTTCGACAGAGCGGAGGGGGCGGGGTGAGGGATTGAAGACGACACGTGACTTTTGACGTCACCACCCCTTGCAACCTAAGGTTCATATGTATTATAAATTCAAAACATTTGAAGAGCGAGCTGGTAGCTCAGCCGTTAGAGTGCCATTCTCAAAACTTCAATCGCGGGGTTGGTGGTTTGAGCCCCAGGTTGTCATCTGCGACATTTTTTTTTCTACATTGCGGAGGGGGCGGGGTGAGAGATTGATGACGACAGGTGACTTTTGACCTCACCACCCTTTGCAACCTGAGGTTCATATATATTATATTTCAACAAATTTCAAGTGCGAGCCGGAAGCTCAGTCGGTAGAGTGCCATTCTCAGATATTCAATCGCGGGGTTGGTGGTTCGAGCCCCAGGTTGTCATCTGCGACATTTATTTTTTATTCGACAGAGCGGAGGGGGCGGGGTGAGGGATTGATGACGACACACGTGACTTTTGACGTCCCCACCCTTTGCAACCTGAGGTTCATATATATTATCAATTGAAATCATTTCATGAGCGAGCCGGTAGCTCAGTCGGTAGAGTGCCATTCGCATATATTCAATCGCGGGGTTGGTGGTCCGAGCCCCAGGTTGTCATCTGCGACATTTATTTTTTTTTCGACAGAGCGGAGGGGGCGGGGTGAGAGATTGATGACGACACGTGACTTTTGACGTCCCCACCCTATGCAACCTGAGGTTCATATATATTATGAATTGAAAACTTTTCAAGAGCGAGCCAGTAGCTCAGTCTGTAGAGTGCCATTCTCAGATCTTCAATCGCGTGGTTGGTGGTTCGAGCCCCAGGTTGTCATCTGCGACATTTATTGTTTTCTAAGACAGAGCGGAGAAGGCGGGGTGTGAGATTGATGACGACACGTGATTTTTGACGTCACCAACCTTTGCAACCTGAGGTTCATATATATTATATTTCAACACATTTCAAGTGCGAGCCGGTAGCTCAGCCGGTAGAGTGCCATACTCAGATCTTCAATCGCGGGGTTGGTGTTTCGAGCCCCAGGATGTCATCTGCGACATTTTTATTTTTCGACAGAGCGGAGGGGACGGGGTGAGGGATTGAAGACGACACGTGACTTTTGACGTCACCACCCCTTGCAACCTAAGGTTCATATGTATTATAAATTCAAAACATTTGAAGAGCGAGCCGGTAGCTCAGCCGGTAGAGTGCCATTCTCAAATCTTCAATCGCAGGGTTGGTGGTTCGAGCCCCAGGTTGTCATCTGCGACATTTTTTTTTCTACAGAGCGGAGGGGGCGGGGTGAGAGATTGATGACGACAGTTGACTTTTGACCTCACCACCCTTTGCAACCTGAGGTTCATACATATTATATTTCACAAATTTCAAGTGCGAGCCGGTAGCTCAGTCGGTGGAGTGCCATACTCAGATATTCAATCGCGGGGTTGGTGGTTCGAGCCCCAGGTTATCATCTGCGACATTTTTTTTTTTATAGCGGATGGGGCGGGGTGAGGGATTGATGACGACACGTGACTTTTGACGTCCCCACCCTATGCAACCTGAGGTTCACCAACCCCGCGATTGAAGATCTGAAAATGGCACTCTACCGACTGAGCTACCGGCTCGCACTTGAAATGTTTTCAATATATAATACATATGAACCTCAGGTTGCAAAGGGTGGTGACGTCAAAAGTTACGTGTCATCATCAATCCCTCACCCCGCCCCCTCCGCTCTGTCGAAAAAAAAAAAGTCGCAGATGACAACCTGGTGCTCGAACCACCAACTCCGCGATTGAAGATCTGAGAATGGCACTCTACCGACTGAGCTACCGGCTCGCACTTGAAATGTTTTCAATATATAATATTTATGAACCTCAGGTTGCAAAGGGTGCTGACGTCAAAAGTCACGTGTGTCGTCATCAATCGCTCACCCCGCCCCCTCCGCTCTGTCGTAAAAAAAAATGTCGCAGATGACAACCTGGGGCTCGAACCACCAACCCCGCGATTGAAGATCTGAGAATGGCACTCTACCGACTGAGCTACCGGCTCGCACTTGAAACGTGTTGAAATATAATATATATGAACCTCAGGTTGAAGAGGGTGGTGACGTCAAAAGTCACCTGTCGTCATCAATCTCTCACCCCGCCCCCTCCGCTCTGTAGAAAAAAAATGTCGCAGATGATAACCTGGGGCTCGAACCACCAACCCCGCGATTGAAGATCTGAGAATGGCACTCTACCGGCTGAGCTACCGGCTCGCTCATGAAATGTTTTCAATTTATAATATATATGAACCTCAGGTTGCAAAGGGTGCTGACGTCAAAAGTCACGTGTCGTCATCAATCCCTCACCCCGCCTCCTCCGCTCTGTCGTAAAAAAAATAAATGTCGCAGATGACAACCTGGGGCTCGAACCACCAGCCCCGCGATTGAAGATCTGAGAATGGCACTCTACCGACTGAGCTACCGGCTCGCTCATGAAATGTTTTCAATTTATAATATATATGAACCTCAGGTTGCAAAGGGTGGTGACGTCAAAAGTCACGTGTGCCGTCATCAATCCCTCACTCCGCCCCCTCCGCTCTGTCGTAAAAAAAAATGTCGCAGATGACAACCTGGGGATCGAACCACCAACCCCGCGATTGAAGATCTGAGAATGGCACTCTACCGACTGAGCTACCGGATCGCACTTGAAATGTGTTGAAATATAATATATATGAACCTCAAGTTGCAAAGGGTGGTGACGTCAAAAGTCACGTGTCGACGTCAATGATTTCAATTCATAATATATATGAACCTCAGGTTGCAAAGGGTGGTGACGTCAAAAGTCACGTGTCGTCATTAATCCCTCACCCCGCCCCCTCAGCTCTGTCGAAAAAAAAATAAATGTCTCAGATGACAACCTGGGGCTCGAACCACCAACCCAGCGTTTGAAGATCTGAGAACGGCACTCTACCGACTGTGATACCGGCTGGGACTTGAAATGTTTTGAATTTATAATAAATATGCACCTCAGTTTGCAAAGGGTGGTGACGTCAAAAGTCACGTGTTGTCATCCATCCCTCACCCCACGAAAAAAAAAAAAGTCTCAGATGACAACCTGGGGCTCGAACCACCAACCCAGCGTTTGAAGATCTGAGAACGGCACTCTACCGACTCTGCTACTGGCTGGGACTTGAAATGTTTTGAATTTATAATAAATATGCACCTCAGTTTGCAAAGGGTGGTGACGTCAAAAGTCACGTGTTGTCATCCATCCCTCGCCCCACGAAAAAAAAAACATGTCGCAGATGACAACCTGGGTCTCGAACCACCAACCCCGCGATTGAATATCTGAGAACGGCACTACCGACTGATTTACCGGCTGGCACTTGAATGTTTTGAATTGATAATATATATGATGAACCTCCGGTTGCAAAGGCTGCGACGTCAAAAGTCACGTGTCGTTATCAATCCCTCACCCCGCCCCCTCTGCTCCGACAAAAAAAAACAAATGTCGTAGATGACAACCTGGGTCTCAAACCATCAACCCCGCCATTGAATATCCGATAACGGCACTCTACGGACTAGGCCACCGGCTCGCACTTAAAAAGTTGAGATTTTACAAAGGATGGTGACGTCAAAATTTACGTGTCGTCATCAGTTACCCTCCCCACCATTCCGCTGTGACGAAAAAAATGTCGTTGGTGACAACCTTCGTTGGGCTCGAACCACCACCAATAGCAATGAGGTTCGCACGACGGCATGTCTTATTATATAAATCTACACAATTTGTGCAAGATGACGTTTTGGTGAAGATGAAAAGAAAGTTAGGCGATTTGCCGAGGTGTGAGCACTGCATAATGATGGCGGAAGTAAATAATGATTTGACGGATATGGACTGAAAAAAATGGTGAGGAATGAAATGTTCGTCGGGATTCCAATTCGCACTGCAAATCAGCCAATGAGTATTTAATGGTCGTGTAATGCCAATCTATTTCACACAGATCGTTACTGATGACAAACACAGTCATGTACGTACTGAAATTTGTGTCCTTGTGGAGTCATTTCTTTGTGTACTAAAGTTTTCGAGTTTGAAAGTGTACTTTCAAAATTCTCCTATTTTAACCAGACTTAATTTCCTGTGTTGAAATTCGGACTTAATAAAATACTTCAATTTGCGACAGATCAACACACCTTGGAAATTCCTAGTGTTTGAGTAAAATGATAAATCCATATCATCTATTTGGTGATAACCTTGTGGAGACGTATACAATCTTTTGTTCCCGATTGTGCACATGTCTCCACAGGGTACCGTGTACCAGATCATTGGTTCCGATCCCATTTGCAAAAAAAAAAACATGGAGGAAAGCGTGTTTGGCTAGAAATTCTCAATACTTGTCCAAATATATTCACTATTCCATAATGAGCATAAACAACATTATTTACATTCTGCAACAGGTTTGATATGGCACACATTGGAGAAGGGAAACAAAATAATAGACCCAGTACTGAGACAAGTTTAACATTTCAATCTCCCAAAAAATTACTACAACAGATTGTATTGCTTACTTGAAATAAAGTTAACAATAAACCAATTTACAAAATAATAATTAAACTGTTTCTATTAATTAAAATAAATGTTTTTGTAAAAGTTTCTGTATGTACGACAAGGTCATTTAAGATAGAAATTCATGTTCACGGTTTTCATGCAGTGGTCGCTTTAAGAATTTTTTTTTTTTTTCTCTTTTTATATTTTATTGAATTCCATCAATATATGTTTACAAACCCTGAATTTGCCGATGGTTTAATTTACTTTGTTTTTGTGTTTTCAAGCTTTTTCACTGCTACAATGAATGTTTAAATGTTGCTGTGTATAAAAACACTACAACAAGCACAAAATGCAAACCAACCCCCAAAAAGTGAATCTAGTGAAAATAAGTTGAACTGTTGTTTATTCAAATTTCAGTTAAAGTGGGCCAATTTCTTGGCAACAAACAGTACCTGAATCTTCCACACCAAGCACACATCATTTCTTCACATAAACAAACTTTACACCAAATGTCACACACACGTATAACGTTCGCATAGAAGACAAGAAATTGCCTCAGTTAAAAATAATAAAAACTTCTGTTAAAAATAATTTTAAAAATGGCGAAATTGAATTAAATTATCTGAAGGCGTAACTTTTCTACAGACTGGATTTGACAGACAATAGAATATGTCAAAACGCTGCTACTTTCCTTGCCTTCCAACTCTGAGGTCTTGGTTTTGAATCCCAACAAGTGCATCCGCAGCTTTTCTGAACTTACTCGATCCCATCAATTTTTTACCAAGGAAATTTATCATAGGTTTTCCCGGCCAATTTCCTGAAATGTTCTTTTACCTCTGAAAATATGTCATTCATTTTTGTCTAAATTTGAATGCACGTCCTTAACCCCATTTCAATTCAACGAAAGTTCAATCGTTTTCATTGTCCGTGCATTCCGTTTTGAGAAACAGACAGCCAATTACGTTACATTCATTTATGCAAGCATACCTTTTCTAAATTGATTTCAGGAACAATCTAATTTGATTGACAGTTAATGAAAAAGACACCCCAAATTGTATCTGGTGCTGATAGCATTAAACTAAAAGTGAAATAGAATGGTGGATGTTTGAAATCGCCCTTTAAAAGCGAAAAAGAAGTTTTGTAAACAAATCTGAATGGATATAAACGAAAGGTGCTGCTCAATCACTTAATTTATTGAACTGAAATGGAATTGAATGCTCTGGTAGCGAAAAACGAAATTCGTGTTCAGAGTGATACTCAAATTGAGGCAAATAGGAAGGCAAAAATATTTTTAATTTTTTTTTTAAGAAGAGTTACTGAAGGAATAACAGTGCCAGGACCCGGTCTTCACTGCTTGATAATGACCGGGTTTGAGAATGACCACTGTTAATGGACCGAGACGAAGCTATCAACTCTTCAAGGTATTTAATAATTAGTCTTAAAAGTGGTGATCTCATTTAAAGACACTCTAAGATTAAATCATTAAATCTGGCATAAATTAACATACTGTTCTGCATTTCTGTCAATGCAGGAATACTGTAGTTTACATCTTTAGAATTTTTGAGGAATTTAGAATGCAAGCACCAATGTTTATTCCTTACACATTTTATTTCATGTCTTCCAAGTATTTTTTTGATCAAATGGATGAACAGTCCACCTCCTTCCCAAAGAAGGAAAAAAGAGCTCCACCTACTTCCCGAAAAACAAAACAAGATATCAACTCACAAAAATCTAAGTAGTTATAAGTACAAATGCAATGAAAGAGGAAAAAATAACAATCTTTTGTGTTATAAATCTCTAAGAAACAAAAAAGTGAAGGCACCAGAAACGGACGGAATACAATCCTTACATCATAGAAAACTCACATAAAAATCTGATTTATACACTGTATACAGTTTTGTACAAATAACGCCAAGGCTAGTAATACAATGGGCTACGTTTCAAAGAAGTTATCTTGAGTACCAGTGTTATTGGATGTGTTTAATGCATGGCTGGCCCACTGGTTCCCTGCACTTGCTTCGTCGTCGCTGTCACTGCCGAGGCTGTGTTGCCGTCGTCGGACCTCGGCGCTGGACAACGGTTGGAATCTTTTGGTGGGGCTGCTGCGACCATCGTAGATTCTCTCTGAGTTGTTGGTGGAGGCCGAGCCTTTGACGTCCGGAAGGTTGGCATTGTTGGCTCCATCCAGCCAGGAGTCAGACTCTGCAAAGGCAAACAAAGGTGTGAAAGAGAAGTTGAATAAACATGACTTTCAAAATCACATACAACTAAAATACAGCAAGCATCTATGATATGCATGCAGCGTCTTGACCTCCGGATTCTGACCATTCAGCAGGCGCCTTCTATCGTGTCTTTAGTAGTCAGTGTGTCATGAGAGGTCGATGTTTCATTGCGGTTCGCTAGACCACCAGAAATTGCAAGAACTGCAGCAACTGCCTCCTGTCAGCCACTCATAAGGGACCACTCATAAGGGACACAAGGCGAAAGTGGCAGCGAGCTGGACACACGTCCTGCTCTTTGTAATTCACCTGGGTGTCATACAGAAAATGGTGTCAGAAGCCTACTGATTAAACATTTGAAGAAGCATAACCCCAGCAGAGAAAACCTGCAGGATCTGCAGAAAGCCAGGTCATATCGCCAGGGAGTGTGACATGAAGGGCCGATGTTTCATTTGCGGTTCCTGAGCGGAAATGCACGCCAAATAGAAAGAACTGCAGCAACTGCCTCCAGTCAGCCAAGGTGCTCCATGACCACTCATACGGGAGGCAAGACGAGGGTGACAGCAAGCTGGACACAGGTCCTGCTCTATGTAATTCACCTGGGTGTCATAAAAGCACCTGAAGAAGAGCCCCAGGATGAAAGTCAGGATGCAAAAGCGCTGGCGGTGATGGATGAAGATGCTATTTGTGCTGAAGGGTTTGCTAATCTGATCAGAAACAACAATTCTTTTGGTGGGCCGATTACCATTCCTAACAGTTATGACTGTATTAAGCTTATTAAACAGGCGGATGATACTTCTGCTTTCATTTCTTCTAACCTTGATTTTGATTATCTTAACCCCACTTTGCAGATCTTTTGTAATGGAAGTGGATCAAAAGTTAACGTTCAGAAAGTTAACTGTTTCAAGTTTGGCTATTGTTTGTTTTTCCTTTGGAATTGTTAATTGAATTTGACATTTGCATTTAAATAAAAGAATGAAACCGAGAATTGGGAAATATGCATTTTAAGTCTGCTTCTGGGAAAGTAGTTTGTGAACCATGAGGTGGTTTGCGAACCATGTTGATTTAGCCGGAGTTCACTGTATTAATTTTTGTCTTACCCGTTTAGGATTTAGCTCTGCAAGTTCTTCTCACTATAATATTGTTAGCATATAAATTTTTCAATGTGAAACTCTCTGAATCTTGAAGATCACCATATGACATTTTAGTACGAACCAATTAAATTAAAAAAATCAAGAATGCAAATAGAAGTCAAAACAAAATGCTGTACTGACCATCATCCGCGTTGAATGTCTCGTCTTTCTCCACGTCAAAGTTAGCCTCGTCCTCAATAGCTTCATTTAACCGTCTAGCCTTCTCCCTTGCCTGGGCCGCTCTCAACTCTCTCATCTTCTGCTTAGCCTGCATTTCTGCCTGGTGCTTAGCACGGTTCTTCTCTGCTGAGTGGTTCTTCTCTTCCAGCTGCAATCACAAAATGGTTTGTTTGGTTCATTATCTTGGCAGGAAAACTGTTGTAAGTTTAAACAGCCCAATGAATGTGATGTCCGAGAAGGGGGAGGAATGGGGATGGGTGGGTTGGTTGGTGGGTGGGGCATGGGGTCTGGCCTTACCCTCTTTTGATGTGCTTCAGCTGTCTGATTGTCACCAAAATCCCTAGCGGCCAAGATGTCCTTCCGTCTTCTTGATGTTGTCTTGGCACTCTTGGCTCTCTTCTGTAGCTCCTACATAATTGATAACATAAAATGGGCAATTCCACAAATGTTACATTCAGAGCCTACTGACCAAATTTTAACATCAAAAACAGATTTGTGACCAAAAAATGATACCACTCAAATAAAAGATCTTGCTGTCCCCCTACATTTGATACCACATTTGAGGTTGTGTTGCTTGTAGTTCTGTAGATTTCATAAATGTTCCACTTTTCAGCCATGTCCACTTTAGCTTGGAATTGTCCAATTGCACTGCGATACTTTTAGTTTTCCATCAAGTAACACCATGCCACTGCATAACTTACATGGGTATGTTAGTTACTTTCCACTCAATAAAAAATGTGGATAATAACTTATTTAGTTTTGGTTTAGTTTACTGCAACAGTTGTTAGTAAACATTTTACAGGGGGGCTTCAAAACTGTGCCCAAGAATCCCTGGAACACCCCCCTTTTTTCCCCAGCAATAAAACGCCTTCAATAAAAAAAATGTCCTTACCTCAAATCTTCTTTCTTCAGCAACTCGCTGTCTCTCTGCTAGCATCTCCGCTGTCACCTTCGGTTCACTGCCATCCAACAGCTTCATCTGTATAGTTACAAGGACAAAATTTATATATTAAAGAAAAAGAACTGGACTGGTAATTAACTGACAATAAGTCCAGTCGATCTACAGGTAGCACTTGCCATTGGAATTTTGAAATAACCACGTAAAGCTTCATGCAAGCTTCAACAACTGAATGAGCTGTGCGGTGATTTCCTCTGAATAATTAAATTACCGGCAGCTGAACAAAAAAGCTGTTTGTTGGGATATTCTATGAAGCTACATGCTAGCTGAAAATAAAGTAAAAGATCAAACGGTTTTGACAGCAATGTGTTGTCAATTTGGTCTCATGACTGTATACATGTACATGCCACAGACCAGTTTGCCATTTTAACTTTGTTATTAAAAAAAACCACCTGATTTCAAGGCCCTCAACATTCCAATTAAAAACTGAAGAGCCCCGAACTCTCAATGACCATATTACATGTATGAATTGATAAATCTGTTTTAATCATTTTGTTTGTCTTTATTTATGTTCATGTGCAGAAAATCCCCTATCCACTAGCGCATGAGCAGACTTGGCAGCAGATTGCACAAAGTCATGTCCACTCAAAAAAGGATAATATTCTGGCTATCCGGAATATTTATGAGTTCAAAGTCTCCAAACTGCTTCATTGGTAAAACATTCAGGATGAAATTATAGCAGATGCACTGCAGACATATTGTGGGGGGGGGGGGGGGGAACCAAATACCTGTAACCGTTTTGGAGGGTGTTGTTTAACTATGCTCTGTCCCTTTGTTTCCCCCATCACAACTTCAAAGGCAACTGGCGTAGGCACTGCAAGACAGAAATAATGGGATTTTAAATGAGAAATGAGATTGATAATAATAATAATAATAATTAACATTTATATAGCGCTTAATACGCAGTGTTTCAAAGCGCTTTACAAAAAGTAAACATACGTAAGTATATACATGTAGTACCAAAATATACAGGATACAATGTAGTGTAACAACTAAAGAAATGTCAAATGTGTCTAAGTTGACTCGGAGTTAAATAGGTGTGTTTTCAATCTGGTTTTGAAAATGTCCAGAGTTTGGGAATCCCGTATGACGATGGGGAGATTGTTCCAAAGTTTGGGAGCACAGACGGAGAAGGCTCGATCACCGTATCGAGTATGGGTACGAGGACCAGGAGCAAGTTGCAAGTGTGCTGTGGGTGATGAGTGGAGATGGATGGAAGAGGTTTGCAGTTTGGGTGTGATGAGTTCCTTGATGTATGAGGGTGCAAGTCCGTTCCGAGCCTTGTAAGTGAGAAGGAGGATCTTGAACTGGATGCGTTGTGAAATGGGGAGCCAGTGTAGGGCACGAAGGATTGGGGTTATGTGTTCATGTTTCCTTGTGCGCGTGATGAGACGAGCTGCTGTGTTCTGGATATGTTGAAGTGCCGACAAATGGGGAAAGGGTGAATTTATTAACAAACTATTACAGTAATCAAGGTGGGACGTAACAAAAGCATTTACTAGACGCTCGGTGGAACTTTGGTTGAGGAACTTTCTGAGTTTCCCAATTTTGTGGATTCCAAAGGCAGCTGCTCGACAGGAGTTGCGAATGTGCCGTTTCACATTCAGGGTGTTGTCTACTGTAACTCCAAGGTCCCTAGCGAATTCTGAAGGAGTGATTACTGTGCCATCAATGTTGAAATCTGGTAGCTCACCAGAGTTCCGAAACTGAGAAGTGACGTGCAGGATTTCTGTTTTGGCGCCGTTCAGCATTAGGTTATTGCTACTCGCCTAGGCTTTAACATCAGAGATGCACTGCTCAAGTCTCACAACCCCGCTGGAAACCTCACTTTGTTTGAGTATCAGATACAGTTGTGTATCGTCAGCGTATATCATATGTTGAACACCTTGATGGGCACTTATGACGTCACTCATGGGACCAGTGTACAGGATAAAATCCAGAGGTCCCATGACGGATCCTTGAGGTACTCCCCACGAGAGTGGAAACGCTTGTGACAGTACACCATTGATAACAACGACCTGCTTCCGATCTTCCAAGTAGGAAACAAGCCACTGTAAGACAACTCCATCGAGTCCGTACTTATGATGGAAGCACTGTATCAAAGTGGTGTGATCTATCGTATCAAACGCAGCTGAAAAGTCTAGCAAAATGAGGACAGCTTCCAGTCCTTTATCAACCGCTAGCAAAAGATCATTGTGAACCTTCAAAAGGGCTGTTTCAGTCGAATGGTACTGCCGATACGCAGATTGCATGACAGGAAACAGACCATTATCATCGAGATAAGTTCGTAACTGAGCAGCAACGATCCTCTCTAGAACCTTAGCATTGATAAAATGTTAATCAAATCATTGTTATCTGAATGTAATGTACATGTTGGTTAAGTTGTATTTGGGTATGATTTATCTTTTTTGTTTGTTTTTACACTTAACTGATGAAATCTTAAGTCTAACGAAAAAGGTGGAAATCTGTATGTTAATTATTTTAAGCTCTATTTGTGTTGTCTTTTTGCATATTTTTATCGAACACTGCACATTGAATAGGTTTATTTAAGCACATTGATTTGACAGTGTGTATAAGTGACAATCGAGAATAATAATGATCAAGCTTGTTAGCACAACAGCTGTGATTTTGTTGATAATTTAGCTCCGACATTCCAAGCCCCAGTGAAAAAGTTGTCTTGCCAATGTTCAGGCACATTTCCAGTCATAGTTTATGAATTATGGTTCCCAATATAATGTTGTTTTTTTAATTTCTCCCACACTTTACTAGTAAACATTCTGTAACTTGAATTTACAGTTTTATTACATGTAGTACCAACAACACTCAAGACAAATAAAAAGTATGATACAATAAACTTTTAACACATTTTTCTGATGTCATTTTCAACAAAGATTTATGTCAAGATTTAAGTCAAGGTGTATAAGTTTGTTGTTTGAAAAACAAGTTATTCAGGTTTTGACCTCCGAAAGGTTTTGTACAGAATGAACAAAAGTGGTTGTGTCAGAACATGTTCCAAAGACCTCATGACATTTCCTCCAATTAATGCAAAAAAATGCTAACTTGCCATCTTTTAACATTTATAACCTTCAGACATTAAAGACAGCTGAAGGAAGAGTTGCTTGCACTAAGTATCTTTTCAGAGCCAACACTTACGAAACTGTCTTGCAATTACGCAAGTCTGCAGCTGGCTAAAAATAGCTGCTTATTGATACAGCTCTCACAGAGGCGACGAATCACCTGTTTTAATTTCCTTTCAATTTTCACCAGAATGAAAAGATAAATTGGCACCCTTCGTGGATACCATGACGTTTTCCTTTCAGTGACTACTGTGTGTCCCAGAAAAAGCCGGCCTGGACAAATCATCGGCAATAGACCCTATCTAAAAAAATATATTTATACCAGACTAACTTTGTTTTCGTTTTTCCATGCTGCTGATGTTGTTTATTGTCGCTGACGAAATAAACTGACTTGATTCAACACTTTTAAAGCCGTGACTTGAAACGTAAGGGCTCTTAAAAATCTACATTTACATGTACATATTTTCATGTCAACAATCGACATTACATTTCATTCACAGGATAACGACAGCCAAAAATAACAGGGCAACAGGAATAATTGGTGACTGTTGTTTATATTGCAGTTTTAAATCAGAGCATTCTACGGTAAAATAAACATCATAATATTAAATTTTATCAGAATCAGATTTTTTTATGAACATTACAAAAAAATGCGTTATGAAATATAGACGGTCTCTTCTTAATCTGCATGTGAAATGTGTTCGTGTGTGATACAGGTTTGTGGTCTCCCTCTCTCCACTAATTTACCAGCACAAGCTAATGCCACAAAAAGTGTCAATTTTGATTTTATGGAGCTGTCATGTTTCTAGTCATGACTTTAAAAGTTTTAAATCAATTCAGTATATTTTCTCCACAGGCAGTAAACAACATCAACAGCATGAAAAAATACAAACAAAATTTAGTCTCACATGAATATTTGTTTAGATATGGCTGCTGATTTGTCCGGGCCCACTTTTTCTGGGGACATACTGTACATGTAACCATATTTATGCAGCAGGCAGGTCTTGTCAGTGTAAATATAATCAGTGAATCCGCAATCGAATTTAAGACAGGACACGTTCCAATTGTCGGTTGCTGTTTGCGCTCAGTGTTTTGCAACAACAGAACTCAACACTGAACAGAATATGATTGGAATGCTATTTGTTCTAACATAGATGACACTGGTTCAAAACTAGTTCTATTTGCCTGTAGTTAATAAGCAGTGGACTTTGGAGGCGATGTAAAATTGTGTCCGCAGCAACCCCCCCTTGACAAAACGTCAATACAATCTGTGACTGTTGATAACAGAAAATAAATGTTCTTATGATGGGAGTAAACAATGACAGAGATAAACAATGACATACACCTGTCAAAAAACACTGCTTTCTTTCACTGCCTGGTACTATAATTTAAACTCAAATGAATTTAAAATAGTTACAATTAAATTCCATTGAATTAAATTCGCATATATATCATTTTTTGGGATGCTACATGGATCTTGATCAAATGCAAGCAATTTTGTATCTGGAAATTTATTTATTGATTTTTTGTAATGTTTTTTTTTGTCTTTTCTTCTTACCGACAGTAAAAATTCCCCTGCTATACTTTTAAACAAAGGCTAGTCACCAGCAGTCAGATCATTTGTCAAGCAAGCACTTTGTCTAGTCAAACTGGGTCAACAGAGAAAGCAGGCAAGTTGTGGCCACAGCTGCTTTATCAGTCAGCCCCAGTCAAAGCATAGCTGTCCAAGGCAGTCAATCCTGCTTTATGTGAGCTGGGAATTCTTAAGGGTCGAAAACAGTCACTTGATTGATTTTGACTGCAAGGACAACTAGGCACAGAATGTATGTTTGCATAGGAGGGTTGGGGGATGGTAATTCAGAAAAAAGAGGAATTTACCTAAAAGAAAGATAGCTACTTATGTTGTGCTTAAACTGGGACAAATTAATGTTAGCAAGGAAGCAGGATACAGGTGAGGAATTCATAAGTAAGGCAGTGCCCCGGAGAACATCGATGAATGCCTCAGAATTTGCTTTGGTAAGAAATTCTATGTACTTTGGAAAGGGCACATTCCAACAATTTGTTTTTGTCATGCTTGTTCACATAAGTTTGCAACCTACCAGCTTTTTGTCTGGAATCTGTCCCGTCTCCCCTTCCTTGATCTGGCTGGTCTGGCGACCGCAGCGAAGCCTGTCTTATCACAGCCCTCCTGCCATCACTGGTCTTTGCACTATCGATCCCGCTGTCCCTACAAGTACTCCGACTATCCGCCCTCTGTCCAGCATTGTCCCCGCCCACGGACTGGCTGTCATGTGACTTGGTCTCGCTCTGGTTTATCAGGACCTGTTTCCGTAACGACGCGGAAGAGTTGTCCTGTTTCCGCTTATCACTTGCCGAGCCAAGACTTGAGGTGGACGCACTTTGTGAACTCCCACAACCCATGTCTGTTGCTAATTTTCGAGGCGGGTGATTATATGCAGGACTTTACTTCAGACTGGGGAAAAATCCTTCTCTTTTGAACAGTCTCCAGACGCTAGTAATATTGACGCATATTTCCAAGAAGATTTGGGAACCTGGCCAGTTCTACTGTGTTAGCTGCAAAGAAAAAGAAATGACATTTAAACTAAATAAAAATCCCATCAAAAGGAATAAAGATAATAATCTTTAAGTTCATTAAGACATAACAGGAAAACTATCGACCCTGCGACCATTTCAGCCCAGACCATAGGCCTACATACTCATATTAGGCAGAGTGGGTGTTTTTCCCCCAAAGATGGTGGATTTTCCAAGATGCAAATGGATTTTTCATTTTTCTCAACTCTTTAAAATACAAAATTGTGTCCAAAGGAACCATAACCCTTTCTACATAGCTACAATTTTGTTGGAAACAAATTCAAAGACATCATCTTGACAATATATTCGTAAAAAAAAATGTTGCGAATATATGAAGTTTAAAAAAAAATTTAAAATGGGGGGAGCGGGCATAAAAAAGGAAGCGGGCTGGGGATGGAAACTGCTTCAAGTTATGATGAAATTTTTCATTTGAAAAGAGAAATTTAGAAACTTGTCTAGTCATTAACACGGTTTTTAATTTAACACAGACTTTGAACTGGTGTGTTAAAATCTATTTCATATAGTCTCTAGATCCGCTCTTAATCCTCCATGGCACTATGTAACTTCAATTTTACAAAAAAAATAAAAATTAGCCCTAGTCACTGGATTACACAAGGCACAGCGTTTAGTGATTGGCCATTGTACAGTAGTAAGCTACAAAAATATTGGGGGTCAGCTTCGAGTTTGACAGAAATATTGTTGGGAAAAAATGTTGCATCCTGACGCCATTTTTTCATCATATACATGTACCTGTATAGGCCTATATTATCTCAATCAAGATCAGTTATTGCAAAAATGAAAAGATGCATGAATGATTGAATATGGAAGTGAGGAACAATAAGATTAGAAAATACTCTGAAAATGCGCTCGACTCTACATAGACTTTGTACACAACCAAAGAAGTGGCGTCTGGATACTACATTCTTTCCATATTCTTCAAGTTCCCTACTTTTATGACATAAATATTATACTGAAGAAAACAACGGCAAAAAAGGTTGCAACCTGACGCCACTTCACCGGTTGTGTACAAAGTCTATGGAGAGTCAAGAAAATTTTCAAAGTATTTCCTATTACAAATTGGTAAATGTTTCTCAGTCCCAGATTCATGTCTTATCGTTATTTTTGCAATGAATGACCTTCACTTCACTTCACGTCACTTTATTTTCCATGTCAATGTCAATACATTCATTGAGATGATATATGAAGAAAAAAAAGTGGCGTCAGGTTGCAACATTTTTTCCGAAACAACTCTACAGTAGTCAGTACAGTGCTATTCATGACCAAAATCTGTACGAAATTGATTTGAAGCATTTTATCATTACACTGTGCGCTGAAAATGAAATGTCCAACCAAATAAGAATAAGAATTCCTCCATGGTCCAACCACAACTCCAGAACAAACTTAATTGATGCTGGACACTGAGGCCACAATGGAAATAATTGAACTACTTACCATTGCATTTCGAACTTCCAGTGTTTGTTGTTAAATCAATATTTGTGTTTAGACCTTTCCCTTGAAACAAATTATACGATGGAAAAGTTGTGATAAACATGCTGAAACTGCCGTTCCACAGCACACAACTGGCATTGAACACGTACATGTACGTACGTACGTACGACACCACTCACTGCATCATTCACACACACTTTCCGATTCTCGCTCGGTGCTGGTTAAAATGGTATAGTCCAAAACCGGTTAAGCAAAATCTTGTAAGCGATATGGTAAATAAACTTTCGTCGATTTTGTGCATTAAAAGGGTATGCTTTCGATCTGAAACTAAGCGTAATATTTCAAAATAGCTTCTTGCTACGTGAAAGAGCATTTTTACTGGCAATATTGAGACAAAGCTTATTACAATGCGTCAAATATATATTGATAGTTTTAAGACACCCCTTGTATTAACATGGTGCAGTCCTATACATCCGTCAATGAAGTACTAATTGTACCTGTTTCATGGCAACGTGTAAACTATTTCAAGGCCAGTGGTGGTACATGTACATGGTGCAGTCGCACATCGATGGGCGGAGCTGGCAGGCCCCTTGCTGTGTTATTATGGCCTACTTCCCGTTATGTATTATATTGAGACAATTAAGTAGCGTTCTTATAGCATTTCACTGTCCTCGCTAAGGGTATCAAAATTCACCCCACCACCCCCATCCAAAAAAAGAGAAGGAAATGATTAAATAATTCACAATTCAACATGAATATTGAAGCATAATAATTATCGGGGTAAATTATGGGCCCGAGGGGCCCGGGGGACATAAAACACTTGAAAAGTTCACCCAAGACGCTCTTGAATAGGCCTACAGGTCAATGACGCAACCCTTTTTAAAACTAAGCAGTTTTTTTGTTTTAACTTTGCATGTGAATGTTTATAGTAAGTCTTATTGGTGGGACTTCTTGTAATGTTGGCAGCAGTGAAATAGCTGGGCTTGTGATAATTTTTAGAACTCAGTTGGGATGCAATTTCTAGGTCGTAGCTTTTTTGGGGTGGGGAATTTCTGCAAATTGGTATAGTTAACAAGAGTAATAAAAGAATTATTAAAAAGGCAGAAAGAGCTATAACAAAAAAATAATAATACCCCCGCCCCCAAAAAAAAGAAAACAAAGAAACAAACAAAGAAAGAATAAAAAAAAAACACCCCCACATGTTTACGTTACATACGTAGTGTGTGCATTCCTTTGTTTTCGTGTAGTTAAGAAAAACGTGTGAAAAAAAATCATTTTACTCACACTTTGAAAACTCTTTCGACCCAATTTTTTTTCTATCAGTCCCTTTAGTGTTTCTCTTCATTTTGCCACACATAAACCTAACCCAAAAATGCCTCTAAACCTGTTTTCCAGAGAGGGGGAAACACTTTGTGGACGTGGGCAAATCCACACAACGTCGCTGCTACCTGGTTTATGTGGACCTCTTTGTTCGGAAGTCCACACAGTGAATGTATTGCTTGTACACCCCAACAAACAAACATACAAACACCCCAACAAACAGGCAAATAACCCCACACCAACAACCCACAGACAAACAAACAACCCAACCCAACCCATCCCCCCCTTAAAAAACAACAACAACAAACAAGCAATACGAACACGGAAAGATGATTTGGTGTCTGTTTCGAACCACTAGATCTACTCCCCCCCCCCCGGACCGGGGGCCCCCGGTCCGCCGCAAGTATATTCCACAGCTCACCTATGTAACTTGGATGCACTAGCTAGAAAAAAAGGTAGGACATTGCATAACATTTGCTAATGCACTTGGCTATAATTCAAGAACAACTCACTTGCTTCCCCCTACAAGGCTAGCAAGTCATGGTATGAACCTTAGGAACAGTAACCAAAAATCTCAACTCCCTATACCAAGCGCTTCCAACAAAATCCCATCCCTTACTTCATAAACATTTTAAATGTCGGCTCTGTGTGATTTTATTGTGTGCAATTGTAATTTTTGTTTTTTTGTGCATGTTGTCCCCCCTTTCTTGTATTGTTCATGTTTCCTTGGTTATGTGGTGTTTGTTAGCGTACACTTTTTGTATTACGTGCCTTTCTTACTCATGTAATTTTTTTTTTTGTATTAAGCAACTTTTAATCGCTTTTAGAATTAATTGCTTTTAATGTAATTGTCTTTTGGAATTTGGCCCTCTGGGCCACGATTTGAGACAAATAAAAGAAATGAAATGAAATGAGCTATTGTTGAGCTAATTCCTATATACACGTGCAATGCTCAGTTTTAATTTCCTGGAGATAATCTTCGGCTGTTCCAGGTGTGCATTTATTGTAAGAACTATAAGAATTGTAAAAATAACTCATACCCTTGGAAAATATATTCTTTACCCTCATTTAAAGGGAAGATACAACATTTGCAAACATCAAAAAACGAAATGATCAAATTATCACGAAATACCTTACTGAATTGTTAGGGACTGACAGTCTAAAGCATCCTGTAAAATCGTGGTTCCTGGTGTGCTGACATTTTCAAGAAAAATTGTATTTTTCCAAAAAATTGTATTTGGAGGAAACTGGCTTTTTTCAAAAACTGCTTCTAAATTTTCATATTTAGTTATTTCGCATTTTCTTTGCAATTGATTACACACCTGTGAAAAGGGTACAAGCCTGCAATGACCTTACAATTTCCCAAAGTATATAAATTGCTTCGTTTTATCTTAAGTGGGGTCAGGGAACCAGGCTACACGAACATGATTGGTTTTCCTGGTTTTCCAGCATCTACAAGCCCAAAACGTGAAACAAGTCAGTTTAACAATATTTTCTATCACATACTAATCATCCAAATCCATTTATGTCGGAAAATTGCAGCAAAAGCAAATGTTGTACATTCCCTTTAAAGACCATAATCTTTAAATATATGAATATAAATTATTGTATATTTATTATTAATGGTACCGACAGAACACCGTACCGCTGTAGCTCGCAAACATGACGAAACGTGTAGACAGGAAACAATGAAGAAATATAAGTTTATATTCCGACTGGAGGGAAACCCACGGAATCAGGTAGGGACTGAAAACCTAATCCACATGTGAACCAGGGCAGGAATCGAACCAAGGTGCATAGAGGTGAAAGGGCGTGGAAATATGGAAATAACCAACATGACTCCTCTCTTTTAGGTTTCGAACTTGCCTCACGTGTTTGAAAATATCGGACATTTGATTTTTGAAAAGTGTCATGTTCGCTTGTCAGTTGTCACCAGTGCAGACGAAAGTTGTCAGTTGTCACCAGTGCAGACGAAAGTGCAATGATGACATTACTAGTGTAAAGTGAGTGCGCCCTCTATAGTTATCAAGTCAATGACATTTCTGTAATCGGTGGAAAAAATGGTGGCGCTAGACAACATCAACGGTCCGTCAAGAACTAGAACTAGAGCGTGTTATGCTTGCACCATCCAGCAGCAGCTAGCTACATCCCTCCCCTGATGTACAGCAGGCTACATGCGAAGACTTGTATCAGACGGCATTTATACGCATACCGCATTCTCCAAATATTTGACATTTCCTTCGAGAAGGATCATACTGTACTTGACTGCAGCCTCCATTGCCGGTGCGAATGTCTAGGACGGCCGGCCGTCTACGTCATTTTCTCCCTGTATGTAACCTGTGATAGAGAAAACAGTCCAGCTTGTATTGTTTTTGAGTTTGCTCTGCAGCGCAGTCAGCATCAACGTACCGATGGGCAGATAGGATTTTTAGCAAGCAGTTTGGTGAGGAATCGTTAAGTACTCAGAGGTGACTGCTCCAAGATACACGGTCATTGTAGGATTATAACCAGTGTGATGGGAAGATGACTTCTGCAGCAGATGTAGAAGACGAGGTCTCCTTTTTGAGAACAGTAAGTTTAAATGGAATTTTGTCACTGTCACTCAGATGTGATAATGTCTGGGCTCCGTTAATACGCCTGTGTATGCCTGTTCCTGCTTGCTTTACATCCATTAATTTATTGTGGTTGGTTTGTTGCACTATTAGTTTTTACTAGTTACATTATCATTAAATTAAATTTTAGAAAAGAATGAAGTATCGTCAGACCTCCTAAAGCTACGCGCTCCTATTTCTACGCACTCGCCTTTAATTTGAATTTTGCAACGCATGCGTATTACAAATGCAAACCTTCGCTCTGATTGTATCCTTTGATGCTCGAACTTTAACCAGCAGCTGAAAAAAATGTGGAAAGTGAATGCTTCACCAGTAAATCAGGCATTTTTAATTTTTTTTTTTTTTTTTTTTTAGAGTTTAACACAAAAATTTGGGGGTGTATTGCCCTAGTCAAAAGTGGGGGATCCACCCCCTCCCCAGTGTACACAAACATTTTGTATGTGGTACCAATTTTGTAATTTTGATATCCTATTGCTAAATTGGGAAGTTATTAAAGGGAATGTACATCGTTGGCTTTTGCTGTAATTTTCAGAAATGAACTTTATGAGGGGTTAGTATAATAGACCAAATATTGTTACACTGACAAGTTTGAAGTTTTGTGTTTGAAAATGCTGGAAAAACAAAGAAAAACAAAAATGTTCAAGTAGTCTGGTTCCCTGACTCCACTAAAGATGAAATGGATCAATTTATAGATAAATTGTATGGTAAAGGAACCAGTCTAGCTGGCCTGCACCCGTTCATGAACATATAACTAATAGCAAACAAAATTTGGACTGAAAAAAAAAAGCTAAATTGGAGCAGAAGTTGAAAAATAGTCAGGTTTTTCCAATGGTGGTCGGCCGACCACCATTGGAAATTTATACAAAAATACAACTTTTCTTGAAAACGACTTCACACCGGGTGCCATAATTTTACAGAATGCTTTAGACTGTCAGTTACCAACATCCTAGTGAGGTATTTTGTAAAAATTTGGTAGTTTTGTTTTTAGATGTCTGCAAATGTTGTACATTCCCTTTAATAATAATAATAATAAAACTCTTTTTAAACAGTATTGAACATCCCAAATTCAGAAATGAAACAAAAATCTGTATTTAAAAAGTAGGTATTTTTATTTTATTTTTGTACGCTTTACGCTGTATACATGTTGTATTGTCCAAAGGTTTAAAGTTCAGGGTTAAGAATAAGAGTAATGCCATACAAACACATGTTGTTTGAGGTGGAGAAATACTGGTACCAAGTTGGTGGCTGTTTTCAATTGTCTTAGTGTGTTAAAGTGCATGAGGTAAATGCACATTGTACTGTGCAAATGTACACGTTTGTGCGCCCACATGTACTTTGAGTACGTGTTGTAGGCAGAAACAGTGCTCAAATATCCACTGGACCAAGTCCAATGATTTATCAGTCTATTACCTTCATTGTGCTAACTACATGTACAATGTACATTGTACACAGACATGTGTACTGCCAGTATGGCGGTTTTCACGCTACCTTTCATTAGGTAAAAAAACCCAAAAAACTCGGTCTCTGGTCAGCGCGCGCGTCGATTTTAATCATGCGCATCAACCTTTTTTCTTTTTTTAAAAATTAACATGGAAGCTACAACAGCACCCTCTATTGCCGCGCCCCCTCAAATTTTTGTACCAAGGAGCACCAAGGAATGGGGAAATTGCACCAAGGCAAATGATAAAGGGCCTCAAGGCAAATTTTGGAGGACACCAATGTTTAATGAGGACACAAAAAAGCAAAATAGTACCCACCTTGTCTGTACAATACAAGCTTGAAAAAAAAAAGCGTCGCAGCATCAATTCCGGAACTTCGGTCTGACCAAAGACCGACTTTTTTTTTTTTTGGGCCTTATTAACAATGTCAATACCATATTTCAAGGCCCATTTGACAAACTCAAATATTTGTCGTGTATTAAAGGGAAAATACAACATTTGCAAACATCAAAAAATAAAACTACCAAATCAGTTTGAAATAACTTGCTGGACTGTTAGTGAATGACAGTGTAAAGCATCCTGTAAAATCATGGCACCTGGTATACTGTCATTTTCAAGAAAAGTGGTATTTTTGTATCAATTTCCAACGCTGATCGGCCGATCAGCGTTGGAAAAAACGGGCTTTTTTTTCCAAATACTGGCCCCCATTGACCATCGCACTTGTTTGCAATCGATTACACACCTATGAACGGGTACAAGCCAGCTAGACTAGTTCCCTGACCTTACAATTCCCCAATATATGTAAACTGCTCTGTTTCTTCTTAAATGGAGTCAGGGAACCAGACTACAGGAAAATGATTGTTTTTCTTGGTTTTTGTAGCATTTTTGAACCCAAAACCTCAAAAAAGTCAGTGTAACTATATTTGCTATATATTTCCAACCCCCCAATTCCATCCATTTCGGAAAATTACAGCAAAAGCAAATGATGTATATTCCCTTTAAGGTAATGGACACCGTTTGCCAAAAATATGTGCTTTTGTTGAGTTAAGGACCAAATAATATATGTATAGTACAATGTATACATGAAGGTTATTAAAAAAACTAACCTGTCAATATTTCAGCTGGGTACATGTAGATACTTTTTGAGAAAACTGCAAAAATGCATTTTCTTGAATGCAAATCAGAGGTTTCCTTTGACAGTGCAATGGTTTGGTTTAACCATCGCGAGGAAATGATCGATTTTTCCTCTTTTCTTCAAAATGACAGTTATGTACACGGTAGGTGCAATGATTTCACAAGATACTTGATCCTATTATTTACTTATAATCAAGCAGGATATTTCATGATATTTTGACAGTTTCATTTTTGAACGTTTGCAAATGGTGTCCATTGCCTTTAAAATCCTCCTTTTGTTTGACCAGTCACAGACAGTCAAATTTCAATCCTGTTCCCCTGCCATGCCTTTTACACAGACTAGTCGCCAACAGTCAGACCATATTTCATGTAGGCACTGTGACAGTCAAATTCCATCAACAGACAAAAGCAGGTGACTGGTAGGCACAGTTGGCTTATCAATCTTCTAGAGTCAAAGAATAGCGTTTCATATACCGGTAACAATCACAGCCAGTCAATCCTGCTTTATGAAGACAGGGAGCACTCAACTGTTAAAAACAGTCAGTTGATTTATTTTGACTTCTGGGCTGACCTTGTTGAAATTGCCAGCCAGAGAGGGAGGGTTTTAACCCTAACGTACCTGAATCCATCAAAATCCACTCCCCTGTTTTGGAAGATTTCAGCGGAATCAGGATACCTCCATAGGGCCTATTGAAAAAGTTGGGGGATTTTGATGGATTCAGGACAGTAAGCCTAGCGGTACTGCAGGATTTTGATGGATTCAGGATATCTCCAAATTGAGCAGTTGGGGGATTTTGATGGATTCAGGATCTCAACAGATTTACTCCTGGCTAACTGGTGGATTCTGATGGACTCACTGCCAATGAACATTTTTTTTGCATGGCAAAATTGATGGATTTTGGCAGATTCAGGATACTTTCTTGTAAAAATACCTAAGGGGTTAGGGTTAATGGAGTGATGGTCATATGATGTTTATTACTAATTTTTCTTCCCACTTTACTTACAAAGGTTGTTACTTGAATTTAACTGTTTACTGACAAAGTTTTCTCGTTAGTGCAAAACGTTACACTTATTCTAAGGCATTCATCCAGCACTAATACATTTTTTTTAACATAAAAATCAGCCATTTGAGCCCTATACATGCACGTACAGTTAAAGTAGAAATGTCCGTTATTTTTGTTGCCAAAATCCATTCTTACTCACATCAATATCAGCAGATAGGCACCTTCAAAGTTATTGACAAAATGTGCTATTGTTTATGGCTGCATTGTCTAGGCGTGTGCATTGAGTTCAGCACCGGCTCATTTGATGGTAATTACATTGAAAGTATTGATCAGCATCTGTGTTTTCAAAACTAGACACACATGTAATGTGCACATGTACATGTAGGCCTACATGTAGTCCTTGGTGGTAGATTTAATTAATTACCTTGTACACGTATGTACATGTACATGTACGTACATGTGCATGTACGTATAAATTGTACGTGCAATCTGTTGCACGTTGTCACAAGGACTGGTAAACTGTGTACAATGTACATAATGTACATGTACCTCCCCCTCGCCCCACTTGATCCTCCCATTTCTTTCTTTATGTTTTACCTCATCTTTCATGTTTGATAAAGGGAACTCCATGTACATGTAATTTCTGCTGTCATATAATTTATGATATTGAGTGCAGCATTGAAGTTGCAGCAGTTGATCATGTACATGTATAGGCCCTACAGCATACACGTACAGTATGATACACATGTACACAAGGCCGTAGCCAGCCTAGTGGAAGGAAAACGTCATTTTTACCATGAATTGGACCTTTTCACCATAATGTGCACCTTTTCATGTCTAATCAACAGTTGATTACGTATGGAAATGCAATACATATTTGAGTAAAGCTCAAATGTCTATTGCGAGGAAAAAGTGGGCCTGCAGCCATTTTTTTTAGGGGGGGGGTGGGGACACTGGGGAGCAGGTCATCCGACCTGACCCCCCCTTCCTACGGGCCTGTACTTAGCCTGTACACATGTATAGACTTTAGGTCAGAAAATGATAAATGTGCGTGTTAACCAAATCTGTGATCTGGATTTTTTTTAAAAGCCAAATATCCGACCTCAAACTTTTTAGTGCCACATTTGGCCAAAAATTTAAAATAAAGAATATTTTGAAAATTATTTAAAACAGTCTTCCCTATTTTTTTTTGTGCAAGTTTTTGTGTGTGTTATTGAATAATTAAACAATGCTGTTAAAAGTTAAAGGTGTTAAAGTAAACAAGCAAGTGTAAAAAGACTGACAGACAAACATACAAATGTTATAAAATTAAAATATTTTCCTGCCTACATGTACCTACGGTACCTGGATAATTTTATACAAAAGCGTTACCATAAACACAC